AGGGAACAAACAGGTACAGGAATAAATCAAAAGAAAATCTGGCTTAAGAAGTATCGAAATGAAACATCCAACGAGTGGTATCAAAATGAAACTTCCAACATCCAAACAATCAGAAGGAAACAGTCCAAAGGAAACAAAGGTAGCACCAGAAAGAAACATCCAGAGCGTTCGACTCACACAGGTGAAAAGCGGTTCAAATGCAAAACATGCGGAAAGGGTTTTGCTAAGCCATCGGATATGAAGAAACATGCGAGAATTCACACAGGTGATAAACCGTACAAATGCGAAGTATGCGGGAAGAATTTTATTCAGTCATCGCAACTGAATCAACATGTGAGAATTCACACAGGTGATAGACCACACAAATGCGAAACATGCGGGAAGAATCCTTCCCGCATATTTTGCATTTGAATGGCCTATCACCTATGTGAATTTCCATATGTCTCTTCATATTCCATAAGTGTGGAAAGCTCTTCCCGCATATTTTGCATTTGAACAACTTCTTAGGTGTGTTAGTCGTATGTTTTTTTAGCCTTGAGGTTTCCTTTTGAAGGGATAATGTCTTCGGATCAATTGCTATACCTGTTTGTTCCTTACTCACTTCTTGAACTGATAGGTTCAACGGTCTTGCGTCATTCTGATCAATTTCGCTGAGTTCTACTTGTCTTTCACTTACCTCTATCGCTAATAGATCTGATGGTTCAATCCGTTTCTCAGTCATTCTTGACATTGACAAATCTAACGGTTCTGTTTGCAGCTCCACAAATTTATGAATTCCCATATATGTTCTTGACATTGACAAATCCAACGGTTCTGTTTGCGGCTCCTCAAATTTTATGAAGTCGTTAATTTCAAACTGCGCTAAAGGTTTGAAATCTTAGAAATATTGCAGTGCTATTTTATATTCTTTAACTTTAAATGAACTTACGATGGTTTAAGTGTAACTCAGTTGGATGAGGAAGAAGATGGAGCAGATGAAGGGCATTTTGATAGGAATAATTTCTTGCCAATTCTGAAACAGTTGCGTAAAACTTTTTCAAGTGTATACTGTTCTAAATATATTAACATTGAAAAGAGATCGGTACGGATTCATTGCGTGTATAATACGAATATCTCCCGTTCAAACATCAAACACAACAAATTATTTATGTTGGAGAATGATCTCAAGCATTCCAAAGCAGATTTCTACAAACTTGCACAATTACAAATTTGATAAAGCGATAATTTTGTTTAATAAAGAAAGTGCTCATGTTGGAGTCCTAAAATCGCACGACACAGAACTTTAAAAG